ACACTTCACCTGCCTTATCACACTCTCTAAGGGCAGGGACTATGACTGTTCTATGATCATCCTCCCAAACACCTATTCATGCCTACCTCCCCTCCTTGAAGGCTTAAACACTTATGGACTGTTTAAAAGGAAGTTATTGATACAGAGGAAAGACAGACTGGAGGATAAACAAAAGGAGTGAAAAAAAAGAGGGAGGAGAAAGAGAAGGAAGGGTCCTAGTCCACTTTTAACATTCCCCAGTTGCACACAGAGGTACTGTGCTATATAACACAGAACCATTAGTAGACATCCTTAAAGGGATGGGAACAGTTGTGTAGGAGGCACCCACTTTAAGGAGGGGCAGGATTCTGCCACAGTCAACTGGAGCAAGCCAAGCCAAGCCTGCGCGCGCGCGCACACACACACACACACACACACACACACACACACACACACACACACACACTCCACCCTTCCATTTATGGTCCTAGAATGAACTCTGGGGAGGATCAGAGGATCATTAATAGGTAAACTCATTAGGGAGTCTCCAGAAGGAGGGAGAAGGTCTTGAGAAGTGAAATGTTTCCTGGCAGAGTCCAGGTCCAAATGCCTTTTCCTTTACCCATGTCCTAGAACCACCAGGTGTGAGCATTTGGAAACCAGGCTGTAAAGGTTAAGGGAGTCCTCATCACCCAGTTACAGAAGGGAAGCCACAGCTGGTCCTGAGCTTCTGCAACCAGACTGAGCTCCAGTTCTTTCATCGCCCAAGCATTCTCCAGGACCATTGCCCACACCTGCCAAGGAGGAAGACTACTGACTGATAAGAGTGTCTTTGTCTGGCACCTTGACGGGATAAGCAGAATCTGTCAGAAGATCTTTTCACTTTGACCAATGAACAATGAGTAACTCAACCACTGAGTAGTGACATTGAGACACTGGGCTGGGCATTGGGCCAGGTGAGTGTCAGGCAGTTGTGAACATGAAGGTTTCCTTTCTGCTCCTGTATGGCTTATCATCTGTTGGATAGAAGTAAAAACAGGTAAAAAGACCAAGACGAAAATGATGAAGAGAACAAATAAAAAAAAAACTAATTCCTTTGAGGAAAATAACTTGAAATAGAAGTGGTATTGAGGCTGGGAATACAGTTCATCAGGTAAGAGAGCTTACTGCTCTTGTAGAGGCTAGGGTTTGGTTCCCAGCACCCATACCAGGCATCTCACAGCCACCGATAACTCCAGCTCCAGGGGAGCAGACACCCTCTGCCTTCTGGGGGAAGCACATAAACTCACACAAGCACACACACACATATACACACAATTAAAAAGTAAACACAAGTGAATGAAGCTCTCTATAGGGCTGGAGACATAGCTGAATGATAGATTACTTACCTAACCTGTGCATGGTCACAGCATTCATCTCCAACACTGGAAAACAAAAGTCCCCTCTGACTATACTACCTTTGGGTTGAGATCTGAATGAGACGATGGGGAAAGGCATGTGAAGTTTTCTCCAAAGTGAAGGAACAATGAGTGAAAAGATTGTCCGTCTGGATCAGCTTTGGAATGTTCAAGGGATAGAGCAGAAGAAACAAAACAGGAGGGGCGGGTCTCCTGCAGACTCATGATGCAAGACATCACGCAAGAGCCTGGAAACTGCTGATGTCTGGCACTCATGTCCAGAGGTTCTGTTCCATTGGTTAGAGGTGTCGTCTGGGTACCAGAAATTTGGTGGTTTCAAAGTCCAGACAAGGCTGTGAACCACTGACAAGAGATGATCTTGAAGGCCATGGTAAGGACTGAAGGGACTCGGGGCATTTTTCTGTTATCCCAGGCCCAGATCCAGAAAGAACTCATTGCTTTGAAGATAGAAATAGAGTCAATGAAATGAAATAATCCAGCTGAACATAGTAGCACATGTCGCCCAGTCGGTAGGCAGAGCCAAGCTGATTCTCTGAGAGTTTCAAGGCCTGCATGGTTTACATAGTAAATTCTAGGACAGCTAGGAACACAGTGAGACCCTGTCTTACAAAAAAGAAAGAAAAGAACAGGAGAGTAGTGGAATTCACAAGGCAGCCAAGAGAAGCAGTAAAATCTAGACCAGAATAAAACAGATATACATACTTTAATGTGATGCCACATATCTGTGATCCTAGTATTCAGCTAGGCTCTGGTAAGAGGATCTCAGGTTGGAGGCTAGTCTGAACTACATAGCAAATTTTAGGCTGGCCTGAGGCTACATAGGCAGACCATGTCTCAGCAAAATAAAATCAACAAGGACAAACCACACAAATACAGACTCCAAAGACAAGAGGCAAGGAGAAACGGCTAGCGCGTGTATTAATTTCTTACAGCTTCTATAACAAATTACCACAAAATTTAGTGTTTTCAGTACACATTTATTAACTTAGCTTATTTTGTTACTTCTTAAAAGAATATTGTGTGTGTGTGTGTGTGTGTGTGTGTGTGTAAATATATGCCACATGTGTGGGTGCCTAGAAGCCCTAGAGTTACAGGTGGTTGTGAGTCATCTGATGTGGGCTCTGGGAACTAACTCAGGTCCTCTGTAAGCATAGTAAAGTGCGGAACCATCTTCCCAGCCCCCACATTTGTTGTCTTATGAGTCTCTAGTTCACAAGCCTGGAAAGGTTCTCCCTGGGATAAAGTCAAGGTGTCAGCAGGACGTGTCTCCTAATGAATGTTTGAGTAGGTAATTCATTCTCTTAGCTTTTACTGCTTCTTGAGACCACCCATTTCTTTACATCACGGCTTCCTTCCTCAGCTGTCTGTGCTAGCATTCATTGTATGGGGCTGGGTAGACGGTTCAATGGTTAATAGTGTGTCCTAATCAGGGTTACCATTGGTGTGGTGAAACACCACGTCCAACGGCAACTTGGAGAGGAAAGGGTTTGAGTCACTCACACTTCATATAACAGTGCATCATCGAAAGCATGGAGGGCAGGGTCTCAAGCAGGGCAGGAACCTGGAGGCAGGAGCTGATGCGGAGGCCATGGAGGGAGCTGCTTACTGGTTTGCTTCTCATGACTTCCTGAGTCTGATTTCTTATAGAACCCAGGACCAACAGCCCAGGGGAGGCACCATCCACCATGGACTGGGCTCTCCCCCATTAATCACTAATTGAGAAAATGCCCTACGAGTTTGCCTACAACCAGATCTTATGGAGACATTTTCTCAGTTGAGGCTCCCTCCTCTCCAATGATTCTAGCTTGTGTCAAGCTGACACAAAACTAGCTGCTAGCATAGAGTTCTTGCTGCTTTTGCAGAGGACCTGAGTTAGGTGCCCAGCACCTAACTGGATGACTCACAACGGTCTGTGAGTCCAACTTCAAGGGATGTGATGCTCTCTTCTGTGTACCACAACCGTCCCCCACATACTTTCATGCAGACGCATACACAAAAATAAAAATAAAATATTGTTTAAAACCAGCAATGTCAGGCTGAGAACATCTTGTGCTGATAGCTCTGGTTCTCGTCTCTGTTCTCACCCTCCACATTTAAGAACGCTTGTGATTATGGTGGACACACCTGCGTACTCTTAAATAGTCTCCCTACTTTAAGCTCAACCGATTACCAAATATAGAACCACCCAAATTAATTCTCCATTTCTAAGTAAGGCAATGTGTTCAATTTCTAGGAATTAGAATCGAGTGTCTTGTGCAGCATGGTATCATTCTGCCCACATATTGTAGAAATGTATCTTTTGCAAAAACAAATTCAGGTCATATTTAGGTCTTTAAAATTTTTGGGTGGTGGTGGTTTTTATTTATTTATTTTTCATGTGTGGCTGAATTTGGCATGGAGCTCATGGCAATCATTTTGCCTCATGCTCCCAAGTTCTGGATTGCAGGGCACGCACCATCACACAGCTTCATTCTGGTAGTCATTTGCCTGAGTTTTACCTGTGCATTTTGATGTTGAGCTGGGAGGTTTGTGAATGCGCATGTATCTGTATGTGGAGGTTTGTTTACCATGGTGTCACATTTGAGTCCCTCTCTATTGGGGAGGAAGAAGAAGGGTGCCCGGAGGGGTTGTCTAATAAAGTGTTGCTGCTCTGTAAAGTCTCAATGCCCTGTTTTGTTGTTATCAACAATAAAACTAATGACAAGGTCCCTCTCTGCATGTTTTGGTTGAGCGTGTTCTTCTGTCCCTCAGCAATCTCCTGATAATCAGTGTTGTAAGAATGCTGAGGGGCACTTGCGATGTTTGTCCTGTCTGAGTATATCCGAAGGCTCGCACACACTGGAATTGGGCATCACTGAGCATGATACACCTACAACAGGGCTTGGGGTCACATGTGGGGATGCACAGAAGCTTTTTCAGAAATCCCCCAAAGCTATCCAGGCAGAAAGGCTTGGAAGAGAGAAACGGGAGCTGGAAGAGGAAAGAGCAGGGAGAGAGACAGGAGAGGGAGGAAGAGACAGTGATGGAAGCCAGACAAGGGTACCAGGCAAGATCAGAAAAGGAAGTAGGATGGAGCTCCCAGCATCTGCAATTTAAACTGAAAACAAACAAACAAACAAACAAAAAAAAAACAGGCAAGTTGATTCCTTTTAGGAGCACAGTCAGAAGATTTAGGTATGGTTCAGAGATCTGAGGCAGTTGGAATAGAGAACTGTCAAAAAAAAAAGGCAAAAAGAAAGTTGAAAATAAGAATACAAAGGAGAAGGATAGAGAAAATATAAACTTTGGGAGAAGCGGGGAGTGGGGTGAGGGGAGAATTAGACTTTGGAAACCTAACCTGAGAGGCAGGAGAGTAGGCGCCTGCTTCCAGCCCTTACCTCAAAGTCTGGGTGTCCCCAGACCTTAATAGGCAAGGCAGGGAGATGAGGCGCCAGAAGTGACAACCACATACCAACACTCAGAGGCCTGCCAAAGCCACACAGTCCAGGACCCGAGCTTCCGGGCCCCCAACCTCCAGATGTAGGTGTGCCAGCCACCTGGGATGACTCATGCCCTGGCGATGTGGGCACGCATGCCAAGAGCGAGCCTGGGCACCCTGCCCACCAAAGGCACACCACAGGCTAAGGGGGAGAGTCACGATCTTCAGGGACTAGCTCCCGGAGAGGGGAGGGGAGGCTACTGAACCCAACATTGCCACCTTGCCTACAATGCATGCCTTGGTGCTCACCTTCTAGGCCCTAGGACCTAGGTGTCTCTGTCTCTCTCTACACCCTGCTTTCCAAAACCTTACTAGGAAAGCGGGAGAACCAGATGAGGCATTACGCAAGGTCTGCTGTTTACCTCCTGCATGGGGCCTCCTCCCTCCCTATAAAACCTGACGTGGTGAGGAGACGCTCTGAGTCCGATCTGGGTAAGCGAGACAGCCCGGGAGAAGGGTAGTTAGGAGGCGCGAAGTGAATGAGGGAGACGCAGCGAGGGGTGTCGAGTCAGCACGCAGCGGAGGTGGTCCGCCGCCACCTACGCCCTCGGGGGCGGCTGCCACGGTCGCGGGCCAGGGTGCGTCTGGATCCTTGCTTTCCATGGAGGCTCCCGAGCTGGGCCCGGGGTTGGTGGAGCGTCTGGAGCAGCTGGCGACGTGTCCGCTGTGCGGGGGCCCCTTCGAGGACCCAGTACTGCTGGCGTGCGAGCACAGCTTCTGCCGTGCGTGCTTGGCGCGTTGCTGGGGGGCCCCGGCAGCGCCGGGCTCGGAGGCGGCACCCCCTTCCTGCCCCTGCTGTGGTCAGCCGTGTCCCCGACGCAGCCTAAGGTCAAACGTGCGTCTGGCAGTGGAAGTGCGCATCAGCCGTGGGCTGCGTGAGAAACTGGCGGAGCCGGGTACCCGGACAGGGAGAAGACGCGGGGGTCGCATACCTACCATGGGCTGCCTGGACCCGCACGGAGAGGTAAGGAGGTCGTGCTTCTTTGAGGGTACAAGTTGTTGGTGAAGAAGCGGTTTGTGGGTGTCCTAGCAATGGTGCACGCTGTGCATTTAGCTCTAAAGTCCTAATGGGAATGTAGGTAGTAGACAACTTGGCACCGGGAAAGCGGAGGCAAGAAGATTGATACAAATTCAAGTCCATCTTGGCACACATAGCGAGTTCCAATCCAGAGATGGATACATAGAAAAGAGAGAGGAATTTAAAATAAAAATTTTGAGAGAGAGAGGGAGGGAGGGAGGGGGGAGGGAGAGAGAGAGAGAGAGAGAGAGAGAGAGAGAGAGAGAGAGAGAGAGAGAGAGAGAGAGAGAGAGAGAGAGAGAGAGAGAGAGAGAGAGAGAGAGAGAGAGAGGCCAAGTATTGAGTGAAAAGCTTGAGAAAGAAAGTTAGGAAAAGCTGGAAGGAGTCAACACTTGGTCAGGGGAGGAGGAGGAGGTTGAACAGATAGATGCCTAAGTTTTATCAGTGGGGCTGGAGGCTAAGATGTTGTAGAGGCAGAAGCACGCTGGTGGTAGGTAGGACACTGAGCCCCCTCAAGATCTCAGAAGCCTCCTGCCAAGACATGGGAACTGAAGCCGGGACTGAGCAGGCTCGCCGGTGGGATCCAGAAAGGGGAGAGGGGGAGCGATGCGGACCAGACATCCAGATTAGGCGAGGAGGAACCCAGGGAGGGTGTCAAGGTTGAGAGAGGGTGAGGAATAAGCAGAAGTGTAGGGGACTGGCAAATGGGGTGGGGGCGTGTTGGGCAGATCCAAAAGCTACAAGTGAGGCAGGGGTTCCCCAAACAAGCTCTAGCTGAGCTGCAAGTTGTTATTGTTCTCAACTCCTCCCAGGTCCCCAGGCAGGGGCGGAAACAGGCGGAGGCTAGGTCCGGGTGAGCAGCTGGCAGGCCTCTGGCTGGTCTCCACGTTGCAGCCCTACAGTCTCCTCTCTAGGCCCTCCCTGGGCCCCTTTGGACACCAACCACTCCCATTCCTCAAGGGGATCGCATCTGGTTTACTTCCCCTTAGCCGCCCTCCTGCCGTGGGTCCTGCTTCCGCCCTTTGAAGGCTTCACAGACTTAATTAGTCTAGGTGTAATTGCCGTCCTCTCTTTCCTCCCCTTGCCACATTACTGGCCTCTCCAGCCATCCTCACTGGGCAACAGAAAAGAGGGATGGAGGAACCCCAGTGTTTGGAGGGGGGAAGAGAAACCAGCGCCCTCTTCCGGCTGCCAGGGTTCCCTCCGAAATCTGCAAGACCTCTTGGGACACTTCTGAGTTCAGGGGCCTGCGGGTAGAGATGACATAAAACAAAGAGCCCAATAAATACCGCTGAGCTTTTAAGACAAGAGGGGAAGCAGCTTTATTGTGAGGCTTTTTATATAACAACTCAACTCAAGGAACATGGGTGTGTGTTCACGTTTTAATAAATGGTGAAGGGGTGGACGTTTGTCTGGAACACGCTCAGTTCAAGAAGCTAGACAAGGATAGCACTACTGAAAGGGAGTGAGAGTGTGGGCCTGGGAGATCAACACGAGGTAAGAAGTAGGTGTATGGAGAAGAACCCTTGGAGGATGGAGCCAGGAGCCTGAGGAGGAAGTGATTTTGGAGTGAGCAGAAGGGAAGGCCGTGAAAGAATAGGGGCGAGCAGACGAGGAAAATGGAGCAGAGGGAGAGAAGAGAGATCATCTTAAGAGGTGGGAGGGTATCAACCACCCAGAGCTCACCTGAGGTGGAGGGGAGGGTGCCTCACAATGTGAGCCTGACTCTCACACCCATGTTTTTTTTTTTTTTTCTTCTGCCCATACCAGGATATGAGGAAGACATGGAGGCGGTGAGTTCCATTTTTACTGTTTCTTCCTTTCAACTATCGGCTACCATGGCCCCACCACCTCCTCTCCAGGTCCAGATCTTTTGTCTCCACTTACCAGTAGGCTTTCTGGAGTATGGTCTCACCTGTCTCTGTCAAGAGCAAGTGGGTTAGGATTAGGAGTTGGTTAGAACTAGCATCAACAGACAGGAATGCTGATAACTTCCTTATCTGTCCAGATTTGATGTCCCGACACCCAAGTCATCTAACTCAGAGGAGGAGCTCCCTGAAGATTACCCTGTGGTAAAAAACATGCTTCACAGACTGACAGGTGAGGAGGGAAAGCGGGGAATCAGAGTGTGCAGTGTTTGCTCCCTTTCAGCTGTCAAAAATGGTCGTGCCCCTTTTGGTATCTGTGTCGGTTTTGATTTCCTAGGGCTGGAATAACAAAGTGCCACAAACAGGTGACCTGAGCAACCATCCACACCTCAAAGTATAGAGGTAGAAGTGTGAGGACTCAGGAGAAATCTGTCCCTTGCCTCTCCCCTGGCTTCTGGAAGCCTCGGCACTCCCTTGGCCCTTATACAGTCTTACCTGGGGCTCCTTCTGTGTGCCTCATCTGTGTCCAAGTGCATCCTCTCCCTTTTAAGGTAGTGGTCATACTGCACCAGCACCCACCCTGATAATGGTCTCAGTCTTTACCTGATTACCTTTGTGAAAATCCTTTTCCCATGTAGGGTAATTTCTGAAAGCTGAGTAACAGCCGGGCGTTGGTGGTTCACGCCTTTAATCCCAGCACTCAGGAGGCAGAGGCAGGCGGGTCTCTGTGAGTTCGAGGCCAGCCTGGTCTACAGAGTGAGTTCCAGGACAGCCTCTAAAACAATACAGAGAAACCCTGTCTTGAAAAACAAAACAACAATAACAAAAAAAGAAAGCTGGGGAACAAAATTGAAACTCCTCCCACCTTTTTAAAAAGTGTCTTTTTCTGTATCCCTGGCTAGTGTAGAACTCTAGCCCTTCCTGTCTCTGCCTCTAACATTCCACTAACGTGCAGAGGCTACGAGTATGTAACACCGCACCTGGTCAGTACGCGGGATTTAGCCCAGAACAATATCCTTAATTCCTCAGATCTCCGCCACTTTCCCTCATCCTTTTGTGGACACCTAAAGGGTACAAGAGCACTCCCGGGAACCTCGGTTTCCATACTCCCATTGCTCTTCTCGAGAAGGGTCCCAAGAGTCCAGCATTGCCTACCCCTTTGCCCTGGGGTAGCTAGCTCTCCTTTTGTTTTTAAAGTGACTAGAGAAGATGTTATACCCCTTAGTCATACATTCATCCCATTTAATCCAAATTGCTTCTAGTTCCCAATCCAGAAGTATTTCCTTAAAGTTCCCCGCCCCCATACCTATAAGGTCAGGGTCTCTTTCTGGTCCCTTTGGTCATCTCTGTTTCTCCTCTAGCTGCATCTCCTACAGAAACGGGCCTGTCCCTCCCTGCCCCTGCGAGGGTGAGTGGCCTGGTTTTACTGGATACCTTGGAGTCCTCCCTTTGCCCCTCCTTTAATCACTTTGGTTCCTATCAGGTATCAGCTTCCCTCAGTAGTCTTGCTGACCTGGCTCCCATGCCCCACCCAGATGCTGCAGATTCAAGGGTTTATGCTTTGTTTCGTTCTTGAGACAGGGTCTGTTCTCCACCCTTCTTAACCAGACTCAAGAAACTTCTCATGTGGCGTTCCCCATCTTCTCTTTTTTCAGCTGACCTGACACTTGACCCTCGCACTGCACACCGTGGTCTGCTCATTTCCTCTGACCACCGCGGCGTGAGTCTGGCTCCACCTGGAACACCAGAGCCTCTGGACAGCCCCGCGCGCTTCGATCGGCTCCTAGCCGTGCTGGGTGCCCAGGGCTTCGCGTCGGGCCGCCACTGCTGGGAGGTGGAGACGGTGGAGGGCGCGTCCTTCAGAGACTCTACCTCGGAGAATGAGGATGCAGGAGAGAGCTGCTACGCCGTGGGCGCGGCCGGGGAATCCGTGACGCGCAAGGGCCTCATCAAGCTGTGCCCATCTGAGGCTGTTTGGGCCGTAGAGGGCCGTGGCGGCCGCCTATGGGCACTCACGGCCCCAGAGCCCACTCTGCTAGGCGGAGCCAGGGCCCCGCCGCAGCGCATTCGCGTTGACTTGGACTGGGAGCGGGGCCGTGTGGCCTTCTATGACGGCCGCTCACTGGACTTGCTCTTCGCCTTCCAGGCGCCCGGCCCGCTGGGGGAGCGCGTCTTCCCACTGCTCTGCACTTGTGATCCCCGCGCCCTACTGCGCATCGTGCCTGGAGAAGGCTAAGCGTCTGGTTCCCTGCCTCCTACCCTAGCCTAGCCCGGATGCCTCGGGGCTACTTCTCTCTGGTGCAGAAATCTCCACCTATTTCAGTGGTCTGTACACCTGTCGCAGCAGGAGCATTAATAAGCACCCTTTACCCACTCACATTCTTTCTCCCACAGCAAGACCTCAAAATGGCTTGCATATCCGTGCCTTTAAGCCAGTCTGGTCCTGCATCTCCATGCCCAAATCTAGCCTTTGAGTTCCCTTTCTGTACCGTTCCAGGCAGGGATAGGGAAAGGATCTGTGTCACCAGAACTGGAAAACATTGACATTTACCTCCAATCCCAAAGGGCTAGGACCTGATCCACAGTGGGAAGGCTGGGGCCTCCTGCTGATGACCACTCTGAGAATTCCCCTCAAGAAAAATAAATCCTCCTAAAATAAGACGATCAACTCATAACCCAAAGCCTAAAATATAAATGTTGGGATGTGTGTGCAAGACATTCCACTCTCTACATTTCTTCTATGACTGTTTTCTATGCTCATAGCCTTTTCCCCTTAAACATCCTCTTTTTTTTTTTTTTTCCGAGACAGGGTTTCTCTGTGGCTTTGGAGGCTGTCCTGGAACTAGCTCTTGTAGACCAGGCTGGCCTCGAACTCACAGAGATCCGCCTGCCTCTGCCTCCCGAATGCTGGGATTAAAGGCGTGCACCACCAACGTCCGGCTTAAACATCCTCTTGGAAATTCATTTTGCACACAAAAGAACCAATGGTGCTACCCTCCTTCTCAACCTGGGAGCAATCCAGGCATCCCAAACATCCTTGTATAGTCTCCCATCCTCCCCATGTGTATAAATGGGCCTGTATTTAACACATTGTGCAATGTTGGGTTATTTATTTTGTGCATCTGTGGCAATAAATGAGATCTCAGTGGTGGCATGGGTTTTGCTGATCTCTGTACTGTGCACAGCAAGAGGCCTGGAGGACAATGCCCAGATCCCAGCACCACTTGGGGAGGGCTGAGAGAGCAAGACACCTGGGTTGGCAGAGACATCAGGCAGGAAAGGGTAGGAGTATGCTGCAGGGGCTGTCCCTCATCTCCTTGCTCTCTCCTTCTTTCCTTTTAGGGACCCAGGTCCCTTAGACAACAGTGATAAAGCTCAAAGATTAAAGGCTAAGAAAGTCGTTGGCTCTAAGTCATTGGTCTCAGCCAGCTTTGTCAGAAATGTTATATTCAGGTCATAACAATTTTGGGGTCCACTTTCCACTATAGGTGTGACTGACAAAGACCTCTCCTAACTCCTTTTGAGGGTCAGAAGGGCTGGGAAACCCTATGCTGTTCCCTAAAACCTTAAGATTCCCACAGGCAAGGACTAAGATTTAGAATAACTGCCTAAGTGGAAGAATTGTAAGCCAGGATTAATATGCAGAGCTGGGGTGTAAGACTGCTTGGAATCTGACTGGGGCCCTGGCAGTGAAAGCTGGGACTGTTGAAAACCCCGTTTAAATGCTTGGGACTCAAGCTAAGGGTGCAGGTGGCCAAGATAACTGGATCCCAGGACAGGTAAGTTTTGGCAGTGAGAACAGGAGGGACAGACTGAGACCAAGATGCCTGGATCCCAGGCACAGAGCAAACTGTAGGGAAGGAGAGGCTGGGCGAACCCAGAAGCCTGGGTTCTGGAACAGCAGCAAGTCAGAATTCCAGGGTCTCTATCCACCCTCCTCTTCCTCTTCTCTATCAGGCAGGAGAGGGAGGGAGGGGGCGGGAGAAGGGATCAGACCATGGGTTGAATCCCCATGTAGCCAGATGGATACATTTGGGACCAGGCAGACACATGAATGGTGAGAGGGATTTAGTGCTGCATAGGTCCTGGAGGGGGCTGAGATGGGTCAGGAGGCTGGGGGGGGAGTGGTTGGGGTGTGTCCCGGGGTTGAGTGACGCCGTCCTTTGCGGTGACCCCGTACACAGTGTGTATGACCACAGCCTTCTTCCTCATCCTCCTCACTCTCAGTGGAGCTTTCACCAAAGGCCCGAGGTTTCTCATAGATACAGCAGCCTAGATGGGGAGGGGGGGGGGGGGGAAGGAAACCAGTTAAGAAGGATGAAGAACACAATGTCCAGTCCGTTTCCATTTCCACCAGATCCATGTGGAAACTTTCTCCCACCTCCCAGAATCCAGCTCCCTTAAGCCTCCCACTCCAGGGACTTAGGCATCCACTCTCTTTGTCTCTTCAGAGGCCCAGACGCATATTTCACCCACTCCTCCATGGCTTGCCCTACAGACTTGGCAACTCTTGGTTTTAGCCCCACCCCCATCCGTTTTCTTTCCCAAGAAAGGAAAGAGAAACCCAAACGTCTGGGAGGCAGTGGTGAGGGCTGCTGGGGCGACAGCACTCACATTTTGATGAGCGACGCCCCATATGTTCATTGTCCACAGTGTCACTCGTCCATTCCACCTTTTTCTCTGGCTTCCGTTTCCGAAGTTTAATGGTTAGGCTCCGATTCTCCTGTAAGGTTAAGAGTTATGGGCCCATCTAGCTAATCTCCTCTCGACCTTTCCTGTTTCCCAAGGTACCTCCTCTTTTCTCTTCCCTTGCTCAGATCAGTACCACATACCACGCCACTGAAGGAGCCAGGTGCTGGGAGCCAAAAACAGAACACATTTTTAACCTGTTCACGAGGAATGTGAACTCCTGTTCTTGAAATCTACTAGTATGCAAAAAGGACAGTTCTTAACCTAGGGAAGGTGCCAGTAAATCTCCAAAGGAAAACATAACCCTCCCTGCCTCTTCATCTTCCTTCCACGACATCCTTGGTGGAGTCAATACAGGAAAGTTATTTTCTCAGTTCCCTGTGACTGGTCTTTGGCCTTCCTTCCTTTCTCCACACCTCTTATTCACATTCCCTCTAAAGAGATCAGAAGCATGTGATCTAAGCAAGTAGGACACAGAGACAGGAGCCAGCAGAAGTCCGCCTCTGCATCGGTGATAAAGCTTTTCCTTTCAAAAACAAAATAAAAAGTAAAAAAAGAATAATAAAGCAGGGCTGTGGAGACACTTCTGTTGGTAAAGTGCTTCCTGAGTTTGATTCCCAGACTCCATATTAAAAAACAAAACAAAAACAAAAACAACAACAACAAAAAGACATTAGGTGCAGTGGTAGTGCATGTTTCCAATCCCAGTATTGGAGATGAGAAGACGGGCAGAGATCTCTTGCCAGCCAGCCTAGCTGATTTGGCAGCTCCAGCGAAAATGATTGTCTCAAATCAACAAGCAAAGCAAAGCAAAACAAAATACACACAAACAAAACAAAAAACCCCCCCACAAAAACAGGTACACTGTGCCTGAGAAAAATCTAAGGTTGAGTTCTGCCCCCCGACACACCTGTACAAGCAAAATAAAACAAAAGTCCAAAACCCTTCTCCACCCAAAGAAAGCCTTCCTTCTCTAACACCCTGGTATCTCTGGTAATAATTACTAAACTACTAAGCTCCTTCAACCTAGACATTAAGCCCAACACATTTCCCTCCCTTTGAAAGCAATTTAACTTGCTTTTGCAAAAATTCTTGTTTCCGTATTTGCTCCTCTCCTCTCTGATCTGTCAAAATACTACCTTCACCTTACTTTGCTTCCTTATTCCCCCAACTTTAACACGTACCCATTCCATGACTATCTATTGGTTAAGTACTCGTCCTTTACGCTTGCCTTCAAAACCATGCTTTCTCAAACGGCCTTTCATTTCCCCCCATACCTTCCTTACTCCTTAACCCAGTTTCCGTTTATTACGTACACTGACCACCACCCCGAGCCGTGACGCCTATACCCTAATTGTAACGTCCCCTGACCAGTCACTTTCACGATTTGAGCCACTCCAAGCATCCCTAGTCCCTGGCGATTTTCCCAAGAGTCATCCCCACATGTCCCAGATCCCAAACCCTCCAAGTTTCCAAACCTCGATTTCCCTCCCAGTGCCTCCCCGACCCCTAAATAGGCCCCCCACCCGCCTTTCTCACGGGCTCTGTTGTCACGGTAACCGTTGTCTCAGTGACGGTCTCACTCAGCCCGGCCCCTGCCTCCGCCATGGCTAAAGCGAAAAGCGAGGAAGCGGGATGAGACACCCTTCCCTTTTTCAGCGCCTCTGGGATCTAAGAGATCCGGTACACGATTCGGAGTAGTAGCCAGAAACCTCTGGCTTATTCTCTGCCCCTTCCTCCAGGGCCTCAGCTTCCCCAACCCTGGGGAATAACCTGTCCAACCCCACTTCCGGCCTTTCACTTCCGGGTATGACGCATCTCACAGAACCCAGTTTCCCTCCCCAGCACAGCTCGGGCCCAAGCGCAGCCATCACCAGATTAGTTCCGCCGTACTGTAACAGTGCGCAGACGCCGCAGTTAGCAGCAGTGATGTGACTGCGAGGCGGAGCCAGCTCGCCCAGGGCCCAAGTTCTTTGGGGGTGGGTCAGCTCGGGGCTGCGGAGCATAGAGATGTGAGGTCTGTGTGCTCAGTGCACCTAACCCTGTCTTCCGTACCCTTAAACCTGGGTGGAAAAATAAGTGGGACTCGGCCAGGTTCCATTTTCTTATCATTCTGTCGAGAAACGGTTTTCCAGGAGCAGGAAACACACTGAGTTTTAGTCCTCTCCCTGTTGGTAAGTCTGGGACAGAGAGCACACTAAACTTGGAATTTTCCCACCATGGTAGGTTGATAAAAGTATGAGATACCCTGACTGCTATTTTGGTTCCGTTTGAAGAATACCAAGGCTAGGCTGTGGGAGGCAGGGCAACAAATTCAAAGACATCTGCTTAAATTTTGTTGAATCACTTATAGTGATATATTATGATTTATTGAAAGCAAAATTAGCCGCATGCCATAAAAGCTAGGCACACGCCTTTAATCCCAGCAGCCAGAAATGTGGAGGTGGTGGTACACGCCTTTAGGACTCAGGATTAAGAGGTAGACTGATCCCTCTGAGTTCAAAGCCACCCAGAGATACATGAGGTTGACTCAGTCTATAAGAGTAATGGATCTCACATCTTTTATCCCAGTACTAGAGGGGTGTAAAAGATAGAGTCTTCGGGGTTCAGTAGGTGGCATTCATTCTCCAGCCACACTGAGGAGAGGCAGCAGTTGGAGGCTTGGTGAAGAGCTCATGTGTGGATCGGCCTTTTTCAGCCTGAGCTAGAGGCTGGCTGCTTTGCTTGCCTGATCTTCAGCTTGAACCCTAATATCTGTCTCTGGGTCCTTTATTTTTCGTGCAACACTCACTACCAAGCCAAAAATCCAAGTTTTTGTTTCCTTATAATGAGAAACTAGATTCAGATAGAATATATGCATAGGGCGGTGGTGGCGCATGCCTTTAATCCCAGCACTCGGGAGGCAGAGGCAGGTGGATCTCTGTGAGTTCGAGGCCAGCCTGGTCTACAGATCGAGTTCCAGGACAGCCTCCAAGACAATACAGAGAAACCCTGTCTCGAGAGAAAAAAAGAATATATGCATAGTGTGTCTAACAGGTTTTTTAAATTGGCCTTGTGATGATTAACATTACAATTAGTTACCATGCTTCAGAGACCAAAGGGGGGAAAAAAAAGCTTGTTAACATGTAAGCCCTTAGCTTGTACAGACTGTAACCTACCAGTCCACTGCCTTTTTTTTCCCCCCCCAGACAGGGTTTATCTGTGTAGCCCTGGACATCCTGGAACTTGCTCTTCGAATTCAGAGATTAGTCTGCCTCTGCCTCCCAAATTTGGTGATCAAAGTTGTGCACCACCACTCTGTAAAGACTATTCTTAAATTGACAGAATTTGTCAAATTTGCTGTTTTAGCAAGACAATAGATCATAAGACTAACTGCTATTTCTGCTCAGTGGCTAGGACCACTGCAAGACATGTATTAAAACCAGACCTGCCTACATGTAGAATACATGTAATCCTGTTGCTTTTTTTTTTTTTTTTTTTTTACTTTATAAGCCTTGCGCTGGTATGACTAGATGCTGCATCTTGGGAGTGCTCTTGGTCAGAGTCCTGGTGCTGTATTTAATGTGCAGTACCAGTATTTAATGAAGCCTCTTATTAAAACTCTTTTTTTTTTTTTTTGGTTTTTCGAGACAGGGTTTCTATGTATTGTTTTGGAGGCTGTCCTGGAACTCGATCTGTAGACCAGGCTGGCCTCGAACTCACAGAGATCCACCTGCCCCTGCCTCCTAAGTGCTGGGATTAAAGGCGTGTGCCACCAACGCCCGGCGCCTCTTATTAAAACTTATTCATGGTCATGGTGATTCTCTTGGTGACCCCAGATGCATAACCGCTTCATTCCAGATTCCATTATTTTATCCTTACAGTTTTTGTTATTGTTGTTCTTTTCTAAAGTTATATTCTAGGGCACTTACATTTCCTTTGGAATAAGACAGATTATTGTTATTTTTGGTTTTTAGGCATCTTGTTAGGTAGCTTTGGCTGGCTTTGAATTCCTTATATAATTCTCTGTCCTCAAGCTGGAAACCTTCTTGCCTCCACCCCTGAAGTTCTGGGATCACAGGACATATGATCCCAGGCCTGGCCAGAACAAGATTACAAGTAACATACACACAATGCCAAGGTTTCATAGAAAATATAACTTTAGTAAATTCAACTAAAGGAAGAAATGCTCTGGGGTGACGATCTTATCCTGAGAACAAAGCACCAGAGGGAACAAAGTGGCCAGAGTGTAAGGAGAAGGCATCAGAAGACCAACATCTTCACCTTCCAAGAGGAGGAATGCTGTTGCTGAGTTGCCAGAAAACAAAAAGGTCAAGAATCTTCCTTTTCCTGAAACCTATGAAGAAAAAAAGGACTCGTTATATTTAACCAAAAAGAATTTCTAGCAGTGTGAGATGAGATAAAAATCCCCTGAAGAGCCAGGCATTGATGGCACACGCCTTTAATCCCAGCACTCAGGAGGCAGAGGCAATCGGATCTCTGTGAGTTCGAGGCCAGCCTGGTCTACAGAGTGAATTCCAGGACAGCCTCCAAAACAATACAGAGAAACCCTGTCTTGGAAAACCAAAAAAACCCAAAACAACAACAAAAAAACCAACCAACCAACCAACAAAACAAAACAAACAAACAAAACAAAAAAAAACCCACAAAACAATAAAAAACCACTGAAGGACTTTTTCTTACGATAGGGATGGGTGAGCTTCCTCCAAAAATCCTTCAACTCTAACCTCAAGGCAACTAATATCTAATTATTTATTACCTTGAAGTGTGCAAACATTTTCCAGGACAGAAAAAGCACTAGCCAAGAAAATGAAAAAGATAAACTGGACCTCATAAAAATTAGACATGTTGTAGCTGGACATAGTGGCAAAGAACCCTACAGATGCTGGGAATGCAGCATTCACGAAGACCTTAAGAAACTGGAAGTTCGGGGCTGGAGAGATGGCTCAGAGGTTAAGAGCACTGGCTAGTCTTCCAGAGGTTGTGAGTTCAATTCCCAGCAACCACATGGTGGCTCACAACCATCTATAATGAGATCTGGTGTGTATTCCAGAACACTGTGTTCATAATAAATAAATCTTAAAAAAAAAAAGAAACTGGAAGTTCAAGTTCTAAAACTAAAAACATAGCATAGTCAAAAATTACAAAGAAGTACCATGAGAAAGGAGAAATAGACATCAGATCCACAAAAAAACAGTAGCTATCAGAATTGCCACACATAAACATGTTTAGTATGTTTCATATACTTTTAAAGAACAAAAGGAGCCATTTAAAATCAGCGGGACCTGAGGAGGCGGCTCAGTGGTTAAGAGCACTCATTGCTCTTGCAGAGAATCCAGGTTTTATTCCTAGCACCCACATGGTGGTTCACAATCATCTGTAACTCCAGTCCCAGGGAATCTGACATGTTTTTCTGACTTCTGTGGGTACCAGGCATACACATGGTGCACTGACATACATGTAAGCAAAACACTCATACACATGAAATAATTTAAAGAATTTTTAAAATGACTAATGGGCTAAACTGTTCAGATGATTCATGAGGTTTGAAAAGAAGCAGTAATAACCAAGGGGCTGAGGAGAAGGCTCAGCTGGTCAAGTGTCTGCTGCACATCCATGAGGACTTGAGTGTGGATTCCCAGCACTGATTTAAAAATAAAAACGATGCTGGATGTCACGGTCTACATGTATAGCCCACTTGGGCTGGGAGGCTTGGGACAATGACAGACAGGAGGAATGTCTAAAGCTCACTAGGTAGCCAGCCTAGCCTGTGCTCCTGGTTCTGAGACTCTGCCTCGAAAGATAAGGCAGAGAGAAAGCTGGGAGTGGTGGCACACGCCATTAATCCCAGCACCCTGGAGGAAGAGGCAGATGGATCTCTGTGAGTCTGAGGCCATACTTACTAAGAATACGGTGAAACCTGTCTCAAAAAGGAAGGCAGAGATAAAGACACTTGATGAAACCACCCAACGCCTAACTCAGGCCTTCACATGTACAACTACACAGACACGTGCATATATCCCCATGAACACACGAGTACATCACGCATCCAACACTCACCACCATACACACAGACAGAATTAATGACCTATAGGAAAGATGTGGGGAAATACCCTGAAGACAGTACAGGCAGAAACGAGATGGAAAGCATGGAAGACAAGATGAGAAATGTGAAAGTCTGATAACTAACTCGAGAACATGGGGGGCAAGCCATGCTGGAATGAAATAACAGCTGATACATTTCCAAGGCTGATGAAATATAAATTCTCAGCTTCAGAAAGCCAACTAAGGGGCTGGGCATGCAGTTCAGTTAGTAGAGTGCTTATGTAGCTCTCATGAACTCCGAGTTAGATATTCAGCTCCACAAGAAACATCTGTGGTACACACATCTGGAACCTGGAACCCTTGCATTTAAGAGGTGGGTGCAGCAGGATGAGATCAAGAAAGAGAAAAAGTCCATTAAAATCCTAAACAGGAGCAAATAGAAGAGAGCTCAGGGTACAGTTGAGGGCAGAGCGCTTACCATGCCTGGGACCCTGGAATAAAGCTGGCAGTACCCCCCAGGAAGAAAGAAAACAATAACAAAAAGCAAAAATACAGAAACTACATCCTAATGTTCTGCAGTCGAACTACACAACAACCAAGACAAAGATGGTTTCAAACTACTCCCGACCATGTTCTTTGAATCATGCAAGATTAACTATGTAAGGTCATTCCCTTTGCAGTGGAAGATTTCTTCATATCGTGCCACTGTGCAAACCAACCTCTGTGTTTTAAATTTTTGTTTCTAGTGAGCTTTTTGTGTGTGTGTGACAGACTCTCAGTGTAACACCACACCCAGCTTTTCCTTTTACGTATCTTAAAAGCTTTACTTCACTGGCTGTCAAGAGTAACAGGGGATCTAAGTTCAGTTCTCAGCACCCACATCTCACTGCTCACAGCTACCTGTAACTCCAGCTCCAGGGGATTTTATGTCTCTGGCCTTGGTGGGCATCTGCACATTCAAGTATAAAAACGCCTACAAATAACTAAAATAAATAAATAAATAAATAAATAAATAAAAGCATCTTTGTAACAAGCCAGGTGGAATGGCACATACTTGGATCTCAGTATTCAAGACGCAGAGGAAGAACTGCTTAAGGTTTAAGACCAACCTGGGCTGTATGGTTGAGAGTTCAAGGCTAGCCCTGGGTATGTAACGAGCCCCTGTTTCAAAAAAAACACAATAAAAGGGGGCTACAAGCTTCCCTATTATGGACTGGACAAAATGAAATACTTAGTACAACTCTGCCATGGCTTTTGCTTGTAAACACTGAGAAGGGGCAGAGGGAGGGAGAAAAGATCCTCACTTGCAGTTGATGCAGGTATAGAAGACAGTCTGTCCTTCGTCAGCTGAACGCATCTGTCTGGTGTGATAGGCCATTCCCTCATGACCACATCGAGGGCATCGCCTGTCAACCTAGGAAGAAAACAGATGGTAATGGAGACCCAGTCACAGTAACTCTGATTTCCTACAGCAATCAGACTGTTACAACCCGCCCCCTACCTCCAACCCAGGCATTCTCCCAGGATGGAGTACAAAACCAGGTCTCCACACAATCACCTTTCCCTTGTTCTCTGGAAGCCACTCATCAACTTACCACTGGTCCCTGGGATTCAGGCCCTTCATCCACAGACGTGGGTATAGCCGTCCCCAGTTTGTGGAACACGACTGATGTCTTGACAACCTTCCCTTCGAAATCTGCACAGGAAGTAGAAAATCAGCAGATATGGTGGAGGAGGCAATGAATCCCAGCAACACTCTCACAGGTGGTCATGTGGGAGCCCACGAGTGACTCGTCTCCATCTGGAGTCTATTCCGACATATAAGACATTAGAGTTCAAGCTTGCTTGCTTCAGTGTCATTAAGAGATGTGAGAAAGTTCTGATTAAGCCCATGGAAAAGAGCATATTATCTGACTAACAAGCCTCTGATGCCAGCTGTAGGCACACAGAGAGATAGGGAATGAAGCTGCTTGCTGCTAGCAGGACTCACATCCTGCTCCTCTAATTCAAGGTAGAGCAGGGGGGCTGGTTTACGGACTATGCTGGTCTTTGTTCCGCTTTGCCTCTAGTCTGTATATTAACAGGTTCTAAATTAAACTCAGGGCTGTCCGGTGTGCTGAAAGGCACGGACCGGGTAGTCCGCCCGAATCTATCCTGTGTTTCTGACTCTGTTTCTTTTATCTGCCATTTCTCAATCCTCACCCCCCCTACTCAGGTAACCCAGCTGATTCGTTGGGGCTCCGCCAGGGTCACATCCTCCCTTCGGGTTTCTTCTCTGGGTCAGTCTGACCCACAGATTCCAGTTCTGGGTCTCGCGACCCTAAGCCCAACCAATGCTGAGCTCAGCCCCACACCCTCCATCACCACCACGGACCCTTCCACCTGGACTCTCGGCTGCTCCCAGCGTACAAACCCCTCACCTCGTACGTCTATGGAGAAGCCACAGCGAGGGCAGACGACAGTATCCTGAGTTCCAGGCAGCGGCAGGACCGAGCCGCAATCTGGGCAGAAATCTAAGTCTGATTGAAAGTTGGAGACCCGGCTAGCCAGCTCCATGGCGGAGGAGAGCTGGGAAAGGAAAGAGACGTTCATTAGTGAGACGTAGAGAGTCTAGCCTTGGAGGTGGGTCCCCATCGCGTCCCGGGCGGTAATTACCTAAGTCCACCTCCCACGGGGTCCTCCGACAGCTGCGTCTGCACACGTCCGGAACCTCAGCGTGTGGGGAAGCTTGTGCGGCGGACCCGGACGCAGGCGGGAAGCCACTAGAGTTCAGATTCCCAGCGGCGGGCTAGAGCGGCCCACCGCGGGGCAGCGAGTGCGCCTGGCGGGCTAGAGCGCCCTCGCGTCCCAGCGGCCGTTGGGTAGTGGCGTCATAGTTAATGGCGCCCTTGGTCGAGCGAGCCTCAGGCAGGGAGCTGAACCTCTGACGGGAGGGAATTGGAGGTTGCACACAGTCTAGGAACTGTGACGTCGACTAAGCGGAGGCAAGTAGCCGGTGTCGGGCCACCCGCTGCTTTCCCGCTCCGCACGAATCCTGGACTGTTTGTTTTCGCAGGGGAAGGGGGCGGGAGCGGCCCTGTAAAACTACTGATTTTTTTTTTCTTCCCCCGCCAGCCACTGATTCTGTCGGGTTAAGAGAACTATGACTCTCTCCCTGGGGCTTTTTTCTCCCCCTTTTGCGGGGCTGCTCAGTGTTCGTTGCGCGTCCCTTTGCCTCCCCCTACTGGTTGTCGCCTTCCTAAGGATTTTAGGAATTTGGAAGTGGTGGAACAAGTGAGATTAAGGCTCTTGGCAGACGACGGAAGCTGGCATTAATCAAAGCGCCTCATGATTTACTAGGGATTAGGTTTGGCTTTCTCTGGCAGACCAACTTCCGCCCCCCTAAGCTGCCATTCACCTGTGGTTAAATACTTGGCATCCGCTAAGTGAACAATAGGGCAAATGATTCATTCACCTGAAGGCTACAAAGTGAGGAAAACTTGTGAAGAAGAAGGACCAGTTTGAAAACAGCGTTCCCAGCCCTCCAGCAGCCAACACAATTGCCATGCTAGTCTTACAGGACACAAACTCTACTCTTTTCTTAGGAGAACCCCTCATTTGTCTTCTGTGCATGCAGTTACTGTGCGATAAAACGCTGGGGAAGGAGTTAAAAAAAACCAGCAAGATGTCGAAATGGACATCATTTTACTATGACCCTGCCATTTTACTTAGGGGTGAAATTGGGTGTCATTTTGCTTGTCTAACAAAGCTCTGTTGCTGAGCCCATGATAGTAGGGCATTTTAAATTTCAAAGTAGAATTTGAAATTAACCCCACTTCCCCTTTAAAGATTGACATTAATTAGACGTCCACTATGGTTTGACTGATACCTTTAATGCATTAGGCATGAAATTCCTTCCCCCCACCCAAAAAAGCTGTCTGCTCAATAAATATCGAACCCTGTGCCAGGTTTAGAGCTGAGACTGGGATTGCATACTTGAAGTCTGTGTTCTCCCTTTCAATGCAAATGAGTAGTCAGAATTCAGAGAAAGAACACTCGTAGCTGCTTGAGCCAGGGATATAAAGTCTACAAGGATGTCCCTGTATATACCTTCATATACTTCATGGAGCACAGGTACATGCTTTAATGAAAAATAAAAAAAGATGCAGCATGCCTGTGTGGTGGCACATGCCTTATCCTAGCACTAAGGAAGCTGAGGCAGGAGGATTGTGCGTTTGGGACCACCTTGGGCTGTAGAGCAAGGTCTAAGCCAGCCTCAATATGTAGTAAATGCATTTCTTTCTTTCTTTTTTTTTGGTTTTTCGAGACAGGGTTTCTCTGTGGCTTTGGAGGCTGTCCTGGAACTAGCTCTTGTAGACCAGGCTGGCCTCGAATTCACAGAGATCTGCCTGCCTCTGCCTCCCAAGTGCTGGGATTAAAGGCGTGCGCCACCAACGCCCGGCAGTAAGCGCATTTCTATACTGTGTGTGTGTGTGTGTGTGTGTGTGTGTGTGTGTGTGTGTGTCTGCTGGGATGGACCCCAGGGCCTTGCTAGGTAAGCCCTTTACTACTCAGTTAAATTCCTTCATAACTGAGGAAAAAGATGATTAGCTACCATGTGATAATAAAGTCATGATTTTAAGACTTACAATCATAGTACTATATTTGATGGCTTGTGCAATAAATGAAAGTAAGGACACTGGCTGCTCTTCAGAGGACACTGGTTCAGTTCCCAGCATCCACATCACCTGAGTGCTCACAGCCATCGATAACTCCAGTTCCGGAGAATCCAGTGCCCTCTTCAGGCCTCCACGGACACCTGGCATGCAAGTGGTGCACAAACATAGATGAAAGCAAACATTCATACTCATAAAATAAAATATTTTATAAAGAAGAAATGCAGGTGAGATGGTCATTAGTTTTTGGAGGTAGGGTCTCATAACCTATCCTGACCTAGAACTCATAGTACTCTTCCTGTCTTGGCCTCCTAAGTGCTATAACAGGCATGAAACTTCCAGGTCAAGTACTAGGATGGTAATTTTTTTCAATCTCAAACTATGAGCAAGTAAGAATGTCTAAGAAGGGGTTGGAAAGATGGCCTGCTGGTACCCACATGACAGCTAACAACTGTAACTCCAATTACAGAGTTTGAGTGCACTGCATGCATGTAGCATATGGACACATGCAGACAAAACAGCTGTATGCATTGAAAATAGAAATAAATAAATATTTTTAAAAGGGAATGTCTAAGAAGTCAGGCAAAATATTAGCTATTAGAACCTCTCCAATGGGCGTTGGTGGCACACACCTTTAATCCCAGCACTTGGGAGGCTGCTGGCAGGCAGATCTATGTGAGTTCGAGGCCAGCCTGGTCTACAGAGCGAGTTCCAGGACAGCCTCCAAAGCCATGGAGAAACCCTGTCTCGAAAAACCAAAAAAAAAAAAAAAAAAAAAAAAAAAAAGAACCTCTCCAATATTATAAACAGTTACTTATAGATTTATATTATAATTCATATACTTCTAAATTTCAACATCAAAATGTTACATATGGATACCACAATATAGTGATGGACTTTTACAAATATTTTTAGGTTTACTTCTGTGTTTTGAGTATTTTGCCTGCATACGTATACCACATGACATGCCTGGTTCTGACAGGTCAGTAGGGGATGTCTGATTCCCTGTAACTGGAGTTACTGATGGTTATGAGCTGCCATGTGGGTGCTGAGTCTCGGACCTCGGTCCTTTGAAAGAGCAGCCAGTGCTCCTGATCACAGAGCCATCTCTCCAGCTCCCAATAGTGACTGATTTTTTTAAGTGAGTTGTAAAGATGAAAACTCCCCAAAGGAAGGGAAAAATCACTGTGATGAGGAATACTAGAAAGACTTCATAGCAACCAAGGGGCTTACCTATAAAGGGCAGGTAGCTGACACTTACTGAGAATTTCCCATGCACTCTTTACACTAAACCGTATTTGATCTTTGTGACCCTGAGAGGTAGATCTGCATTTTAGTTAACTTGCCCTGTATCATACTTTGAGGAAATAGTACAATTACGGTTTAGTTTTGTTCCTGTCAGCCTTTGCTTTTGACTATAGTTTGAGGATCCCCAGGCTGTGTGCTAGGCAGCTTCAGTGGCTTAAATGCGACCTCACAGTAAACTCAGCTTGAGCAGGAGTGACTCATAGAAACTTGGTAGTCTTCACTTGTGGTGCCATTGGCCAGATAAACACACCAACAGGGCTGCAAAGCTTGACTGCAGGGTTTCAACGCAGACTAGTCTCAAAACAGATTGGAGTGGAGGATGATTGACAGTGCCAGTCAGTCAAGCAAAGGACCAGATGATCCAACAAGAATAGAATTTCAGAACAAAACAAAGTGAAGATGCTGTATGTGCTGATAGAGGCACAAAGGGCCTGGCTGGAAAAAGCGCAGAAAGACAGTGAACTGACCAAACGAAAAACTAGAACCATCTCAGAAGGCTTTGAAACTGAATGGTCTGGTTTGGGAGTCCTTAGGCCACCCCTCACCAAAGAGCCTGTCCCTTCCCTCTTTCAGCCCCAGATACAAGATTCTGAGTGGTTCACACTGAGTCCACAGAAGAGGTATGCTTTCAGTTCATATAAAGAGAAGGCTCTTCATTGTCTTGCACAATGGAAAATGCAGTGGCTTCTCAATGGAGAAATGGCCCTTGTTCTTCGACAAATATTTGAGTTCTCTGCCTAGGAAGATAGGTGAGCAAATTTGGCATCTCCCACATCCCAATCTACTTTTGTTTTTTTTTTATCTTCCAGATTGGCTTGGGCAAAAGCATCCAGAGACCCTAGGATTGCAGAAGGTCAACAGTCTCCACTAGAGAAAAGGCTCCTGGTAAATAACTTGTATCCTGTAGTTTGGAGCTATCCAGAAAAGGAACCTGATGTTTAAAATCCTTTGCACAGGTGACACTTTGAGGTAGTACTCCTATAGCAGCAGCTTTCACTTTTTTGTTTTGTTTTGTTTTTAGAGACAGTGTTTCTCAATGTATCCCTGGCTGTCCTGGAACTCCCTCTGTAGACCAGGCTGGCCTTGAACTCAGAGATCCTCCTGCCTCTGCCTCCTGAGTGCTGGGATTAAAGGCATTTGTTATATATATATATATATATATATATATATATATATATATATATGCTAAATCTGCATGTTCCTCTGTTCGACAGAGGAGGGCATTGAATCCCATTATAGATGGTTATGAGCCACCCATGTGGTTGCTAGGAATTGAACTCAGGACCTCTGGAAGAGGAGCCATTGCTTTTAACCACTGAGTCATCTCTCTAGCTCCTCAGCTTCCACTCTTGTAAATTATCCCAACCCTAACTTCCCAAACTCTATATTTTAAAAACTAGTTACTTATTGGTGATGGGTACTGGGTACTTTCAGAACAACCAGACTTACCTAGGAGCATGAGGTTTAAAATTTAAATTATTGCTCTAAAATAAAAGGTGTGTGTGTGTGTGTGTGTGTGTTTGTGTTTGTGTGTGTGTGTGTGTGTGTGTATGTGTATTATCATCTGCTTATAACTTTAATTCTGGGATTGAG